GGTACCGGAGGTGTCAAGTAGGACGAAGATGTCATCTTCGTAACGGTGGTACAACGTGAGGCTACTGATGACCGCTTTCAATTTACCCTGTTTCAACATACTCATGGAAACATCAGCGAGGAATGGTCCTAGCGGGGAACCCATTGCAACTCCATCGCGCTGTCGGTATATATCCCCGTTGAATAGGAACTGAACACTAAATGTACACCTTAGCAGTAATTCTTTCAGGGTCAAAGTTGGTATGCCAATATTAAGATGGTTCTCGTCAACAAAGTTGCAAATGAACTGAATCGTTTCAAATAAAGGCACATTCGTGAACAGTGAGGTGACGTCTAGAGAGCACATAGTTTGGTTCTTGATGTTGACATCACGCACGGCATCTACAAACGCAAAAGTGTCCTTTAGGGTATGTACAGCGACTCGTCTACACACAGGCTCAAGAAGTTCTACCAACCAACGAGCGATCGAGTGGCATGGGGAGTTTCTCATGTCCAAAACTGGGCGAAGAGGGCAGGTAGGCTTGTGGGTTTTGGGAAGGCCGTAACCGTGCCCACGGGGCGTAGATTTTCATATACCGATTCGCTGATATAACCGCCATTCTTAAGCTTTTTGAGATAGACGCACAGTTGATTTTCGATCTGCCTTGTTTTGTCTCGCTCACCAATCATTTTCAAGAATTTCATATTATCTGCCAATATTTCACCCATCTTGTTGAGATAGTTTGCTCTGTTTAGGATAACAATGAAGGCGCCTTTGTCTGGACGGATAAGCAGAATTTGATCGTTCCTAAGTAGTCGCTGCAGTGCTTGCATATGCTCATGTTTCACCGGTGTGTTGTGCGGAACCCGTGCACGCCGATATTGATAACAGGCATCCACCAACAGGGATTTCAACTCTTCTGCATGCACTTCAGAAGTTGGGATCAGTTGCGAAGTCTGTGTGTAGACGTTTTCGAACTGTGCCTCTATTGCTAGTCTGTTATGCTTGCTAGTAGGGAGACAGAACTTTGAACCCCATGATAATACTTCAATAGTAGTACGATCGAACGGGAAACCAGACGGATTTTGGACGTATTTCTCAGGTTCGGCCGGGAAAATCGTTGTGGCTCTCTCTTTCTTTATTGTCTTTGGGAGTGAAGTGCGTAACTTTGCTTCTTGCTTTGTGATACTTGCTTTAACCGTTTCCTCCAGCTCTTCCTGATCGCTTGCGGATAGGCTGGTTGAGACAGCACTCAATTGGCTCAGTGCACGCTTGAGCTCATCTCTCTTGATGCGAATGGTGTCTATCTGACAGTGCAAGACGTTTCAGGCATTTATCGTCTGGCCTGATGCGTGAACGACGAAGGGATCTCCAGGATCTCGAGGTAGTGGGTAATAGACAAGTAGGTACCTTGTCAACATGCACATCAAGCGCAGCCACGTCGGGGATATCAAACAAAAACCAGTTACTTGAGAGAAAGATAACCAAGAAAATAAAACGTGTAATGCATTAAGAAACGGTGACATAACTCTTAAATTAGTGAGCATATGCAATAAGTTCTTTACCAACGAATAGGAGATAAGTTCACGAGGTCAGGAAGTTTATTTTACGGAAATTCCACATACACGAAAATGTTATCGAAATAACTACAAGTGGCTTAAGCGACGTGTGTAAGTGTATAGAAGAGAGTATAAGTAGGCATTTACCTGGGAAAGAAAAGCATTAGGACAAAATTGAAACCCACCACCTAAAACAAATAGACTTAGCATGCAAGCACGCTGTTAGTAAATCGAATGCAGCGTACCTACAAACGCTGCGCCGTTTCTACCTACGTTCTCTGCAGGACCCGTCGTCGCTTCAGTAATGGTCCCGAGTGGCCTCGATCTTGGATCACTAGGTCTGCCTGACTCAGGCACTCGCGACCGCATGTGCTACAGCACCATGCACTCGAGGTCGATGGAGTACAACCCATCGGTGCTTGCCGCTTCTGATATATATATATATATATATATATATATATATATATATATATATATATATATATATATATATATATGTCCGCGGCGCGACATCACTCTCTTAAGAGTAGACTGTACAATACTGCCCTACATTCGACCTTACTGTACGGTTGTGATACCTGGTCCATTATATCGACAGGCGTAAGGAGGCTAGTTACGTTCGACCGCTGGTGCCTTCGCAGTGTGGATAACATCTGGTGAGAACACCGCGTGAGCAATGAGCGTGTTCGGCCGTTTGTCTATGGTGCTTGAAGAGGAAGTGAATCGCTCTGCACCGTTATTTCGCGAACCAGGCTGCGATGACTCGGCCACATGTTGCGCATTGTTTGCGCGCCGAGAGTGTGCATGGAAGACGAGGTGAGGAGGCTAATCGGTGACTTGGTTAAGGCCCTTAACACGAAGTTGCCTCGGTTAGGTCCCGAAAGACTATGAACACGTTCGGCTGGATATGGCTAGACGACCTCAGTGCAGTTTGTGTTGTGGGTTTCTTTGTCCCTCTCCCTCCTGCTTAGCCTCCCCCTCCAATCACGATCTCATTTCGGACACATAATATAGCTTATTGACGGCAAATAGCCGGCTGTTGGCTCCGGAACTATGTTCATCCGTTACCGGTGGTTCAGCTGACGTGCCTCTGTTATGTGCTTTTCCTTTGCTGTGTTATGCACAATAGCGGATGTGTCTCCCACCTCTAGCTAACGTGTATAATGATGATTGTGATGATAAATCGGCAATGAACGTTCAGACAGCGACCTGTTGAACAGGTCAGTTGCATCAGATGAGATGATGCCCGATAAAAACCTGAGAATCAGGGGGTGGAGTTCGTCAGGCCAAGAAGGCTTGTTGCCGACAATGCTGGCGAGTAGTTGATGCAACTCTTCTACACCATAAGGGCGGTGAACTCCGAACTCCGTACAGAAACCTAGTCATTTGCAATCACGGAAGCGAAGTGCGCCACCAATGCAGACGCACGCTTACTGCTGAAGGTTAGGATCTGTCCGTCCGTGTTCTCCATCACTGATAGCTCCCCTGTCAACTTCAGGGGTTGCTTCACATACGCATCGGTTTTATTCTGGGCGGTCTTTGCTGCGGTTGCTGCTCTTCCAACTGCCGACACTTGCTCGTTTATACAGTTTCAAATTTTTCGCTGCTTTTTACACATCTCGTAGTCGTCTACCGGGTCAAAGATAAGGTATTTGACCCACAGCTTGCGCCTCCATATAACAAATTCATTTGGCAACCTTTGCAACGAGTCTCTTCGCGCTGTTCGGAATTTTTCGTTGCTCGCTAACACAACAGTTGTAAGTGAACACAACCAGATTCATAAAGAGCTCAGGGCAAAATTGTGTTCTAGCCTGGAGAGAAACGGCGAAGCTTTGTGCGTCAGAAATGGAAACGGCCGATATCTTTGGTAACTATCAAACATTTTCCCGTCTTATACGAAAAACAAATAGCAGGAAACCAAGAGTTAGGGAAATTATATGCGACAGGAGGAAACAACTTACTCAGGGTCTGTCACAAATTGCCTATAGTGTTTAGCAGGGCACTTTGAAAGATTATTTGGTCGGCCAGTACTACACCACTTCCTTGTTAGCCACTGATAGTCCTGTTCCTGCCTCTTTGGATCCATCATCGCGGACATAAGTCGGATGGGAGATCGGCTTGCTGAAATAAATGTAACCGTTGGACCAAATGGAGTATCTCCAGCTCTCACCGAATTCGGACGACCAGCTCTTGCTTATGGTATACCAGATTTATTAATTAAACTTTCTGAAGAGGGAGACTTCCAGCCGCTTAAAACCGCTGTTATAATCTCGCTTTTCAGGGTGGCTCACATTTGGTATGCGGCAGTACTAGTAAGATCAGTCCGATGTCCATCGCTTCTGAGTTGCCCACTCCTTTCGTTTTTCATTATGACTGCCAACCGTGAACAGCAAGCCGGCCTTCGAGCGAGTTTAATCCGGCCACTCTGACGAGCGTCGGCATGCGAATCAGACTGGAAAGTGCAATTCGACTCCTCATCATCAACACTATGGGCCTATGTATCAATGCCATGGCGCACAAAAGAACATCCGGATTATTCCAATTGTGGCTAAATCACTTGGAACGAAGTCCTGACCTGTGATTGTAATAACACTTTGGTTCATGTCTGTTATCGCGATTATCGTTACTGTTCATTATGAAATGCCAATCTAACTGTATACTGACTCACCTGACCTGACGAAGCTTTTGTGCCAGAAACGAAACGTTGCCCAACCGTTCACGACTTTTCAATCGGTTCGAAGTATATTTTACGATTTTGAAGGACACCTGCTGCCTCGTCTCTTGAACGTCGTTACCGAAGTCATTAAAGCTTCTTTTAACAGGAAACGACCTAGGCATGTAGTTGTTACTCGATGATCGATTTCTCATTTTGGATTACTCTGTCAACCCGCGACAGGTTGAAAACCTGCTAAACAGTGCCAAACTGATTTCCGCTGACTGTCAATAGTTACAGGTTGTGTTTTGGAACGTCGAATGTAATGTTTTACTGCAAAATTGGCAGTTATCACCCCTCACGCTGCCCTTTGGTAGGGGCCAACTAGAAATTCAGTAGTTCAAGTACCTGGACAGCTATATCAGCAATTGATGTCGCAAGCCGCACAGCGAATAATTGAAGCACTTACTCTACTTTCTATTCGTATAATTCATTCAAACCTTTAATTTGATGACAACTCGAAGAAAGGTGCTTATGAAGTGTTTCATATGCTGTGGGGTTTGTCCACAAGTCCTTCGCATCCACCCCACGCACACTGTCGTGCCCTTTCGCCCAGTAGTTCCATTGGTCCCTAATCTTTCATGCCTTTTGCTTCCTCCGTACGAAAACTAGAGATCTGAGAATGATGGTCACATGGCCTCCATGTTATCCTGACCTACATTCTCTGGCATAGGAGCTCCCACACGATCGAGTGCTACTTTCATAGTCGCTTTATTTTAATTTGCTCACCTTTTTCTTCCTTCTCGCAGACTACCCATCTACAAGCGTCGTCGTGAGTTGAACCACACAAGATCATCGTACAAGCATCTGTTACCCTTTCGTACAACTTGTATCGGTGTTACGACGCGTACACCGGTTGGTTTGCTATCATATGTCCATCGTATAGTGTGTGTCTCCTACTCACTGACTTTAGCGCGTAACTGTTGGTTTTATGATTGCTACATTTCAGCAGCTGGCAATCATCTCTTCTTCTGCTCGGGTCAGTGCACACTACCGATGGACGACTTCCAAACCGGCGAGGAGGTGAGTGCACTCAGCCGCTTTTACACTTTTGCGAGGCATCCTTTATTGCAGGAGAAGTCAAGAATATCGTTAAAGAAGTATTGTTGTTTGTGTCTGACGCATCGTTTAGAGTATCGAAAGCACTGTCGGCTCGAGTACTTACTCGCACAACAAGGTTCAGCAGTGGACCTCTACGGTGATAGAACAATGTTTGAATCATCTTACGAAGTTAGGAAAGCCTTTCAAATACGTTGGTGCGTACTTTGATTCAACGTTAGAATTGTTTTAGTTACTTGTGTGATAATGCAGAAAAGCGGTGCTGGTCTCCACACAGCAAGTTCATGCTATTGGGACAGCTCAACCGATGGTGAGTTGACTTTGAATGTGCTGCATCTTAATTTTTAGCCTATGCCATGCTCTAGATTTAAAATCAAGGCAACAATCGTCTCTTTTCAATGAACCGGATTAGTTAAACATATGGCTTTCATAAGTTGTAGGTATACAACTAATCCGCCTGTTTTCTGGTAATAATGGAGACAGTCGCTCTTTGTGCTGACAGTGGAGAGCGACGACGAAAAGTTTTGACACTCACCGTTTAGTTATCATCACACATTAGCTGAGGTTGGGAAACACACCTCAGCTATTGTGCAGCGATACAAAAGAAAGAAAAAGAAAAAACAAGGTACTAAACATTACGGAATACAAAATAATGCCCAAAAGCAATTAATATTGTTATACTCGTGAGTAGGGAATTTTGTTATAGATACTTGAGGTTCATCACAGCCGGCTTCCAAATCAGATACTCGTCCACGTGCCCGGAAAAGCACTTGACTGCAGTTTCAGCCTCTTGGGCATCATCATTAGTGCGCACTCATCGGATCCATCAGGATTCGAACCCATGACCACCAGCGGCTTGCACCACCAGTCAGCAGCTTATGCCACTGGGCCACGGGGACAGCTTTGGACCTTCATGATTTACAAGCTGACTGTTATATAGCGCGTCTTATCCTTCACTGCCATGCAAGTTACGAACGTTGCAGAGGACAAGGTTGGCCCCGAAAGACACGATGTCCATTAACAGTAGCTATGTACAACACAGCATTTAGAAGCTGTTAGGGCGGATATATTTTGATGTACTCTGGCGATCATGGGTCCGATGGGTGCGCACTACTGATGATGCCCAAGAGGCTGAAACTGCAGTCCAGTGCTTTTCCGGGCACGTGGATGACTATCTGATTTGGAAGCTGGCTGTGACGAACTTCAGTTATCTATAACAAAGTCCCCTGTTCATGAGTACATCAAAATATATCCGCCCTAACAGCTTCTAAATGCTGTGTTGTACATTAGCTACTGTTAGTGGACGTTATGTCTTTCAGGGCCAACCCTGTCCTCTGCAACGTTCATAACTTGCATGGCAGTGAAGGATAAGACGCACTATATCACAGTCAGCTTGTAAATCATGAAGGTCCAAAGCTGTCCCCCGTGACCCAGTGGCATAAGCTGCTGACTGGCGGTGCAAGCCGCTTGTAGTCATGGGTTTGAGTCCTAATGGATTCGATGGGTGCTCAACAGGCTGAAACTGCAGTCTAGTACTTTTCCGAGCATGTGGACGACTACCTGATTTGGAAGCTGGCTGTGATGAGCCTCAATTAGTATGGTGCTTAATACCGCGTTTGGCAGCAAGTGTAAGATCGTAGTTGGAGAGGGAAGATAAGCGAGAGGGTGAAGGACAAAGAAACAAAAGCGCTAGTGAGGTCGGATTTTCTCTAATGTCAACAAGTGTATTCAACTAAGCGTGTTAATCGTCTTTTGGTCCCCAGCCCAGCAGTGGCAGGGCACCAGCCAACGCCAATTGCGAAATGAGGGCCTTCGTTCCTCTTGACCACGTCCGCTTGGCCTCCCTTTTCCTCCATCCATACCCCTGGCGCGCAGACAACACACGTCGCCGGAGTCGGTGTGATGGCATGCGCAACACGTAGCCCAGCCATCTGAGCCTGGCGTGTAATGTAACGATGTTGAGCGGTTCACTTGCTTTTCTTACACCAAATACTCGACGCCGAACACATTCATTGCTCAGGCGGTGTTCCCAACAGACATAAGCTAAACAGCGATGGTCAAACATAACAAGCCTCTTTGTCCGTCAAATTGGTGGGCCGGGTTTCGCAACTGTAAAGAAGGGTTGAACGGACGGCTGCATTGTAAGCTTTGCCCTCCAAGTCAACTCAAAACAGGCTTTATGCATTTAGATAAGAACATTTTCAGCATTTTACACTATCGTTGCGAATGGAGGAATACGACCAATTTTTTATAAAAGCAAATAAAATGTCCAACACGAAATACCTTACCGTTTCACTCAAGCAAACGACTGCGCATCTTGATGATGAGTTTCCTTTGGTCAACAATTGGTCATGACAAGTACGGGAGGATAGAATTGTGGTAAATAGCATTACAAGGAAATAACACCCTACCGATAGAGCATTAAGTGAATGGAGACGTCTGGAATTATGAAGGAAAAACTAGTACAAACGTTTACATATCTTGCTGACAATAAAATCTATAAAAGCCTTTCTAGACAGTCCACTGCATCTGGACACACAAACTGTAAGCTGTTTTCAGTAGCCCAGGAAAATTACCGGGGAACAGTAAAGCCAGTATATATTTAACACTTCGCCAATAATCATTTGGCAGAGTACCGCAACAGGGGAAAAATCTCCCAACGCGTTCGCCATTGGATACAATTCCGCGCCATGTCTGATAGCGTATCCAACCAGGTGTGCTCACTGTCCGTGGGCCCTCAACCTGGGAGTCTGGGACGCTCCACCGTGGCTAGCTGCAATAGCAACACCTTGGCACACCGGTCCCAGATTTTGTTGGCCACCTGTCCGTCGCTTCCAACCAACGCCGACGCATACTAACAAAGCGGGATAGGGCAACCGCGGAGCAGGCATACGGAGGAGCGCATGCAAGCAATTATGCAACTCAAAGGTCGGCGGAGACTGTCTGATTTGAAGGTCCGACGTCGAACGTCGTCCTCGCTAATGCGATCTTTAAGACTACGGGCCGGCAAATGTCTCCAAGTTATTTGCCTCTGTTGTTTTCTATAGAGTGACTGGCACTCGTGTGTGATGTCGCTGAAAGCTGGGACAAATGGAATCACCTGCTTCAGTGCGGTCGATCGAGCGGACGAGTGAATTTTTAAACACCTAGCTAATTGTGCTTTGCCTCATACTTGGAAATAGAGCGTTTGTGTTCAGAGCCGGTGCGAGTTCTTTCTGTTGACGCGGCTAAGTGAACCATACACACAACATGGTGACAGAGGAACCCGATGAGTAATCAGCAGCTTTGCTTTGGCTGGCAGCCGTTTGTAGTGATTCCGACTCCATTACAGATGACGGAGGGTTCGCTGCCCCGAAAACTGGCGCCTGTGGTGAGCGAAGAGGATGAACTGCGCGACACTGATCCAGTTGTATGAATATCTTACGCCGTATCAGTTAGCCATGTTCAGGTACGCCATCGGCCGTGATGCGATGCGGGTACTAGACGTCTGGAATTGCTGCGACCACGACCAAGAACCGGATCTTTCAGAAACGCTCGGGAGATTTGGTGATTATTGTGAAGGCCGGTTAAACCAGTTCGCCCGTTGCTATCGATCGACTAACGTTAGGTCACTGAATAGTGTAAATCCGCAAGAAGCGCAAAAGATTTCAGTAAATAACCATTGGGGTCATTACGAGGGATGCGGTAATGCAAAACTGGCGACTCAATGACAACTGGTTCAACCGCAAGCTGATAATGGAGCCAACGTACATTTGCATCCCGAAACAATTTCCACTAATCTGCAAAACCCTCTTCGAAAATTTCACGGCGGCTAAAGACGCGTCACAAACAGGAACCAAGACAGCCTTATACTCTAGCGCCTGGAAATAAAATATGGTTTAAACAGATACCTAGAGTTGAAGGGTGTCGGGAAAGTAGAGCATCTGAGGGTCGGAAAAGAAAGGGAAGCCATCAAAAGCGGCTGAAAAGGCGATATCTTGAACAGGTTCTGCACTCGGACGAGAAGCCGCCTTAGCCGAATAAGCCAACTCAGATCGTAGCCCAGGTACGAAAGCAATACGGCAATACGGAACTTGCAACAACGAAAATAAGGAAAGGATGTGATGTGGCTGAAAGCTGAGGCGAAGGGACTCGCCTGCCTCAGTGCGGTCGATCAGAGTATCGATCGGGTGGATGGGTGAGTTTTTAAGTACACAGCTAGTCCTACTTTGCCTGAGACTTGGGAATAGGGCGTTTCTGTGCAGAGTCGGTTCGAGTTCTTCCTGTTGGCGCGGCTGGGTGAACCAGGCACAACACCGTGAAAGCCAGATTTCGACGAAATCGTGGCTGCATTGATCACATTTTCAGTTTGTCACCGGTCTGTAAGATAAGTCTATAAGATAGACACAGAGCCAGCGAAAACCATAAAACGAAGTAATACATACAGATGGTGATCTGAGTGTTCGCTGAGCTCGGCAGGTTGACTGCAAACGTTTGGTCACCACTCGAGGTGACATCGTCAGTGCGCGTGTATTTAGCAGAGTGGCGCTTCTTCTGATGAAGTGTCTTGGATACCCGTTGTTTTGCAATACCCGGCATAGGTGGTTCTCTTCCTTCTTTCTCGATTCTGTCGTGCTGCCGTATGTTTCAGCCCTATTGAAAAGGCTTTGAATGCAGCTTTTCTTGTGGTTCAGTGGATGGTTGCTGTGGTAGTTTAATATTTGGTCCGTGTGGGCAAGTATACCAACAACTAAAAAGAACGCCCATGGGATCGCCCATCTCAGGACTTATTGCAGATGCTGTGATGCAAAAACTGGAGAGCATCATCAAACGAGATTCCATACAGAATACCAACACATTCCAGGATATCAAGTTTACAATTGAACTCGAAAAAGACAACCAGTTGCCCTCCTTGGATGTACTGGTCCAGAGAAACACTGACGGAACATTTCAGACATGTGTATATCGAAAGAAGACCCACACAGACCAAATATTAAACTACCACAGCAACCTTACATCAAGAATGTATCTGAACTAACGTCAAGATTGCTACGACCACATGGAATCATGGTAGCTCATAAACCAACCGGCACTTTGCGAAGATTGCTTTCAAGGCCGAAGGACAAAGTTAAACAAGACCATCAGAATGATGTCATTTACAAAATTAACTGCAAAGAATGTGACAAACACTACATCGGGCAAACTGGAAGAAAACTGTCAACACGGATCAACGAACACAGATGGCCATACGGAGACACGACCCGCATTCACTGGTTTCCATGCAAGAAGACCACCACTTCGATCTACAGAACGTTAAGATCCTAGCCCGTG